ACAATAACATCACAGACACAGGAGCACAGCACTTGGCTGACGCCATTACAAACAACAACTGTCAGCTACGCGAGTTACACCTCTTCAACAATAACATCACAGACACAGGAGCACAGCACTTGGCTTACGCCATTACAAACAGCAACTGTCAGCTACGTGAGTTACACCTCAGAGGCAATGGAAACATCACAGAAGCAGGTGAGCAACATGCACGTAGTTTAGTAAGTAAGAGTAGGTCTAAGTGTAAGCTATATATTTAAGCCTCGGCAATTGAAATTGTAAACTGTAAAAAAATTATCTGAACTACTTACTTTTCAAAATCTTACTATTCAACGCTAACTGTGAGGTAACCAGCTCAGTGACAAATTACAACCTAAAAACTTAAAACGCGAATGAAAACAAACTAGGTTTGAAAGGCGCTCACGGCAGACAGATTATTTGAACCGGATCGAAATAAAGAAAAAGGAACCAATGACCATGTTTATTGAGAGGAAAGGATGTCAATCTTTTTTTATTCGAACCAATAATATTGAAGTGAAAACAGAAAGAGAACCGGAAAACCTCGGACCTCTCAGGAAACTCTATCGTTTCATGATTGGTTAGTTTCGATCCTAAATTGAATGCAAGCTTCTGTATGTTTTGATCGCCTATGCCTGTCACGAGGAATAGTTTCCAGTTAAGTTTATCGAAGTTCTTTTGGAGATTAAAAGCGGATCAGATGAGTTACTTTCAGTACAGATTATAGATAGAACACATTTGTTTTATAGTTTGTTTTCCCTTTCAATTGAAGCGATCAGGTTCAAGTAATTTCATATTAACTGCCATTGAAATCCTAGCCAATTGTAAATAAACTCGTCGCATGCTTGAAAAAGAAAGTTACTTTGGTATTGAGAGATTTAAATCATATCAATTTTGTTTAGGTTTCTACAACTGATGTAAATACTAGCAAACTTTTGTACGTATTTAGCGAACTTCTGTACATATGTAGGGCCTGTTATTTGCCCGGTCTAATGAACTGTCCATAAGTTGTATTGCACTGCAAAATCGGAAGATGAAGAATCAGCCTTAGCAGTTAAGATTACAACTTACCAGTACTTGTTAATAGAGCCAGAACTCCCAAACCTATCAGTGTGCAATAAATTTTGTCAACGATTGTGAACTTTGTGTAGTGATCTTTTTATCCCCTATGATTAGAGGCAACTTAAAAGGAATGGGGAAGAGTGATGGGGGCGGGGGAGATATGTACCCTTCCTAATTTCAAGAAAAAGAGTACATTTACCTGAGAAATATGCCTCAAGTCTCCTTAAAAAGCTGTCTTCACCATCACCTACACTTGATGGGAAGCTAACAAAAATAGTGGGGATTTACAGCACCTTTATTAAAACCTTTACCATATATTAGTAAGAATGATTTCCCTCGCAGTAGTAAAACAGAAATTCTTCACCACGTCTCAAACCAATGTGTAAGAAAGCTTTAAATGTGAATGACATGAAATAAATATCAGTCACGCATTCGCTTCAATACGTTCCAACCTAGCCACTCATTCAGAATATTGGCCAGATAGGAGGACACATGTTTTAAAAGCTTATGCTGATGCAAGGTTTATGACATTGATGGAACTTGGGAGCAAAAAAACAATCCTAATTAGATAAAAGAACTAAAACAAATCAGAGAACAAACGTGAATTCCACAGGTAAAAGGAATGACAAGAGAAGGCAAGGATACTCCACAAAGTACTTGTTTCTGCTTAGAAAAAGCAAAACACTTGAGACTTCCTCCCAATTTTTCAACACTTTTAATCTGGATTTTTGATGCAAACAATACAAATTTATCCATTTCATTTTCCTGCCTTGGTTTCTCATATCAGTTTCCAATGAAGTTGAGAAAATGATGGCATGCAAAAACAAATATTTGACAGCAGCTGGTAACTTTGCCAAGAGTTGAAATAGAAGTTGCAAAATAAATAAATTTAAAATCTGAAACAGTGAGTTACCAGAATTGCACAACCTTGGGTATAGAGCTATATTTCCATGTAAAAGAAACATTGAAAATGGATAATTAGTAAAATTAAGGATAATCTGCCTCTTGCAATATCACAGCAGAAAGGTAAATCTGGATATTATGGCCCAGTATGAGTTTAAATTTTGCCCCATAAGGTGCGCCATGTACAATAAATGATACATGCGGCTAGAACTTGGCTGATACATTACCAACAACTCGGATTTATTATCAGCAAGAGCTTTTGACCTAAAACGGGGTTATAAACTTCTTGTATCAGCTGATGAGGGTATTAACTGACACTTGGTCAACATGTAGACCCAAAGCTGCCTTACATACACATAATCCCAGCTTTTAACTGAGTTGACTTTACGTAATTATTAATTTGCCATAAAATTCTATTTTACATTGGTTGCTTGCTGTGATTAATTTGACTTTTGAGCAAGTGCAACACAATGGAAAATTATACATGTATTGTTGGCTTAGTGATAGAGCATGGAGCTGCAGAATCCAAAGCTCTACCTCTTGACTACTCATGAGGGCTCATTTCCCTTCTTTTTTCCACAGTAATGAGAAGATAAAAAAGAACATGTTTCTCTAATATTTCATTTGTCTGGTCTCAGAATGAAAATGCTCACGGGGAGATGCATGTCATGGAGTATCCAGTTTGGCAATGTCACCCAGACCTTTGTCCTCTTGGTTCCTAATTAAATAACAAAAACAAAAAACAAAAAAAAATAACTGGCCCAAGACTCAACTCCCTGTTGCATGCTAATTTTAAGGGAACTGGGTTTTATTCAGTAATTAATTTGTATGTTATTAACAACACAAATAACAGTTTTTTTTGTATGCAAGCTTGTTGGTACTTAACCAAGGTGAGAGTTTTAAGAAAGTTGTTTTAATTTGTACTCTTCTGTGAAAGATCAGGAGGAGAATAATTAAAAAGATCTTTATGTCGCCTGCTTTCAAATAATTAAAAAGATCTTTATGTTACATGATTTTGAATGTAGTTAACTGCATAGAAAGAAAGCCTCATGTACTTGAGAACACAGAAAAGGTTAAGGATGGGGGGGGGGGTTGCAAAATTCTCCTTGCAAACAGTGGAAGCAACAGGGAACCAGAAGCAAGAACCAAAATTCTATACCTCTAAAAAAAGTTTTTGTCGGTCAAAACAAATCCAACCAAATTAAACAAGATTTTTTACTCCTAAACTTTTACAATGACAGAAGAATAACAAAGGAGAAAAGAAAGAGACAACAATTGTAGGCAACAATCCAGGGATTCAGAGAGCATCAAAGTCAGCTAAAGCTCTAGAAGGCCATGCTCTACTTTGGGGGAAAACTGGTAAAGGGGGGTGGGCAACTTGCTTTACTTCAGGGCCGGGTTGTTCAAAGGTCGGTTGAGAAAACCCAGGGTTAGTGTAAAATTTGATTTCAGATCTGAAAGTTTTAAAAGAAAATTTACTTGAATTCCATTTTTCAATGATTTAATGATTGAATGCTCTAAAAAGAATTGGGAAAATTATCCCAAAACGGCCTTTCAACATAGAAATATAGAAACCGGGATTAACAACTATCCCTGAGTTAGCGCTAATTGGCCTTCCAACAACTGGGCCCAGGTGGTGAACTCCTAAAATTGATAGGGGTGCAAACTTGCAATTTGTCGAAACCTCCATTAAAACCCTAATTCTGATTTTTCTGGGAATTCCTTGAAATTCTCAAAAATTCCCAATTATGTAAATAAGCTCTGATTTGAAAAGCTTGGAATTACTGGGAATTTCTGGCAAAGGAAAGTTCAAGTTTTGCAAAGACTTGGAATTCCAAGGAATTCTTAGCTATACAAACTACCTATAAGTTAAGATTAGGTGGAATTTTTGGGAATTTCTGGGAATTGAATTTGAGGCAATGTACATAACCCTGAAGTTCAAATAATTCCAAGAAATTCTCATTAACTTGAAAGTGAAAGTTTTAAGACAAGGAGTAATTTTAGAGGCTTAAAACTTTGGTTCCCCCCAAAAAAGGTATGCTACACAGAATGTACCAAGAGATATACCTGTATACGTTTATCATGAAATTTATTATTCAAACTGAGTTTTAGTAAATCTTAACATTAATATGCACTTTTTTTCGTAAAGCAGCAGTCAATTATGTTAAATTATGCAAATTGTCAATCGTAGATTTGCTTTCTAACCTCAAAGGCCTCTTGGATTCCAAATGTCTCATGTCCACAGATGTGCCAAAATCATACAACATAAACATAATCATAAACATGTGAAAGCTTCGAAATGTGCACATCCATTTTTAGGCGAGAATTCCAACGCAACAAAGTCGCTTCCTTCTCTTTCACAAATGTTTCTTCGTTAGGAAACGCACTTTTGAGAGAACC